AGATTTCAGGGGCAAGTAGCCGAATTGGCAGGAAGTGGCGGGAAAGGGCAGTAGTCGTAAGTACAGGGCAACTAGTGAAAAGATAGGGCAGAGCTCTGCGCCACTCGTTATCAAGCCAAATCCGAAGTTGATGAGATCCGGTGGTGCGTCAGCAGTGAATCAAGCACTTACAAGTCATAACTCACGATACGAAAGTATCACTGACAGGGACATAGGAATGATGTAACGGTCGGAGTTGGTCACTTGCCGAGTAAAATAAGCTTTGTACTTTTATGTCTGTGTGGCGTTGGGTCAAGCGGGGTGACTATTGTATTCGAGCTCGCAGGGTTGATACCTCGGGATGGCTTTGGGTGGACGATTGTCATGACAACTTTTTGACTTGTTTCGCGAACCGTTCGCGAAACAATAGTCAAAAGACCGGGTGGATGAGTAGTATGAAATGAGTTTGTAGTGTATGGAATTGAAGTGCATGAGAGTCATCTATTGCCCGAAACATGGTGACCGATTCGGAAGTTGTATGGGAAAAACTTTTTACAGTTTACAGTCGGTTTCACAAGGCACTTTTCGCTAAGAGGTGCCCTGTAAAACCGACATCTTCCCTGGGAAAATGGATGCACTTCCAAGACGGCGAATAAGCATCATAATCAAGATTACAATGAGGATGGATTATATTTCCATTAGTGGTTCAAGTCCTGAGGATTATAGCACTAATGATATTGAACTCAATCCTACAAGCCCTAAGTTTGAGACCAAACTATAATAATGGTACATAGTAATGATACTGATGACGATAATCATCACTATCTTAATCATCCGCATTATGGAGGATAATAAGATTAACTACACTAGTTTAATGTACCTCTTGGCTCTACGCTTACTCTTAGTCTTACTATTATTATTGCTCCCAGTAGCCCCGTCATCCTCAACACCATCATCCTCTCCCCACTTATCCATTAGCTTCTGAATAGTCTTGACATCTAGAGAAGTTCTCGATGCTCTGTTCCTACCATCATCATTATCAACTTGAGCTGATATCACTTCATTGCTGGTAGAGGTAACATCCTGGGATAATGATGACGATGATGAGACATGAGTGAATAGGTCGTCGTTAGGGAAAGCTATCCAATCTGTATTGTTGTATTCTGAGCCGCCGTCTAGACTCTCCCCTTCCCCTCCGTCTGGATACGACTGACTATATTCTATAGTAATGAGTTTAGCCTTTGCCATACACTTTAATACTGAGAGTAATTCATACCTATCCAATGGATACTCACAATTCTTATCATAACCAGTGGATACCACAGTGCTATCTCGGAATAAATGGAGATAATCCCAATACCTCATACCACCTCCTTTCGAAAGACAAGAAGCAGTAGTTGTAGTAGTAGTAGTTTGATCATCATCATCATCATCCTCACTACCAGCTAGTTGTAACCATTGATAGTTAGATAGACCTTCCAGAATAGCAGCACGACATGATGATGAATGGACGAGAGTGGATGTTTGTTGAATACTAGATAGTAATACATTACCACATGATGATGATGAAAGTAGTGGAAGGTAGTGTAGATGATGTTTCCATGAATAAGTACCAACCACACCACATATACTCGCTTTAGGATGTATCAGTCCCAATGCTGTTAATATTATTATAAGATGTCTATCACTCTTGACATAGTGACTTATACTATCAATACTCCCGTACTCTGCCTTCTCCGTCTTCTTCTGCTGCTGCTCCTGCTGCTCTGGACCTCCATCTGTGTAATGCATTGGACTTGACGACATGACATCACGATGACATCGACTACTAATCTCCTTCTCCTCTGATGGATGTATGGATGGTATATCATGCACTAGTTGGGGAGCCCAATCCCTCACTCTACATGAGATTGGCTTTATAGCTTTGGACTTCACAAGTGGCATCATACAACTACTACTACTACTACCATCGATCATCGACTTCTTCTCCTTCTTGCTGTTTGTTTTTGTGTTGTTGGAGATGCTAACATAATATGACCCCTCCAATCCAATGCAGCTATAGCCACTCCATCGTCATCATC